CCCCCCCCCCCCCACCAGCATAGCAGGAGTGGGACCCCAGACCCCCACGTCTGCCCCACCCGGTGCGACTCACCTTCGTACAGCCAGTCACTGAGACCGTTGTAGATCACGCCTTCCTTCCCAGTAGACACCACACGAATGGCCTGCTTCCCAACGTGTGCGCAGTAGTAGATGTTGTTTTCAAAGATAAATATCTAATTGGGAAGAGAGAAAACACAGTGTTAACCAATGAAGTGGCTATAAATAGGGTACTCGTAAGAAGTCAGAAGTTGGGGATGTGGTTTGCATCTGCCTGGTGCATTTATCTGATAGGACAAAGGCAGCGTCAGGATCAGGTGGGGCACACGCATGTATCGTGTGCATTTCTGGTTAATCAGAGACTCCAGACTTCACACAGTTCACCCTATGCCATCTTTAGGTACGTTCATCCTGTGCCATCATTTTCCACGCGTGAACAGTTTGTGGTCTGATACTTTAGGCACTTGCACGTCAAATGTGTTGACTATTTCAGCTATTGTATTTTTCCTAGCAATTAAGATGGGTGAGCTGAAAAACTGGCAATCTGGCATTTATTCATTCACTATTCATTAAAAATTATTTAGTGGCACCTTTTCTGTGCCAATCACAGGAGGCAAGGTGATTAATGGGGTGGGACGCAGAATGGGCTTTTATTCTACTTAGAGTCTGGTAAAGAAGACAAACTTTACCAGGAAAGTGTTCTGAGGGTGCAGGTGCAGCTCTGGGGATGTGTAACAGGAATCCCTAACTTAGGCCAAAGGATTCACTGAGAAAGTGATGGGCAAAACATTTTTTATCGCAGAAAAATACATCTAACACAAAACTTGCCACCATGACTGTGTTTGAGTGTCCGGTCCTGTGGCATTAAGTACATTCACACTGCCGTGCCTCCATCGCCACCACCATTTCCAGAACTTTCCATCTTCCCATACTGAAACTCTGTCCCCATGAAACCCTAGTCCCCATCCCTCCCCAGCCCCCTGCACCCCGTTCCACTGTCTGTCTCCACTAATCTGGAGACTCTAGGCACCGCACGTAAATGGAATCATACAATATCTGTCTTTCACTCAGCACAGAGTCCTCAAGGGCTACGGCAGGTGACAGGGTTTCGAGAAAGTGCTGCTCACGCTGAGGCCTCAGTGAAGACAGCACAGAGATGAGAGGCTGGTTACAGAGAAGAAACGGTGTGAAAGCAGAGACCAAGCGGGCACAGGGTATTGGTGGAGGTGGACAGGGGCTCCTGCAGGCTGTCCTGTCAGGGGCATGGCGGCGGGGGGGGGGGGGGCAGGGGAGGGCAGGTGCCCCACCAGCAGCAGGAAGCCCTTGATGGTGGCCTCATAAGGGGAGCATCACAGTCGAATGAGAGTCTTCTGGCGATGAGAAGGAAGCGAGACCGTGAACGGGGGACCGTGTGGCTGGCCTGGCCATCTGAGGGTGCTGACAAGGGGACAGTGGGGGACACCAGCCAGGAGACAGCCGCTGACGGCATGGAGTGAACAAAGGTCTAGGCGAAGGGGTGACACGAAGCAAAGTTGTTCCTGACCCGCTGGGTGGTGGTGACCCAGTTGTGGAGAAGAGGATGGTCTGGGTTCCTGAATGCTGATGGCCCCCGAGAATGATCCAGAGAGCTCTTAGAAACCCCACTGCCTGGTCCATCAGCCCAGCCCACTACCAGTATCGAGGGCTGAGAGCCAGGCATCAGAGACCACAGAAAACATCCCACTTGATTCCAACCTGCAGCCAAATTTACGATCTGTGACCCCAGAGAAACCTAAGGTCTCTTAAAGGAACGACTGGCAGACAAAGCATTTGCGCTCTCCGAGGTGCTGACCGGCTCTGCCCTGTGTTTCTGTAGGAATCCCCGCTTCTGTGCCCGCAAGGCTTTGGACACACTGGTAGCAACTGGCCAAGTGCCGACTTCTACACATGGACCAGGAACGGGACTCAGATCTTTTCTTTTCTTTGTTTTATTTTTTTCTTTTACAGATGGGGGAGGGAAGAAGGAGGAAAAATGAATCACAGAGCAGACTCGGCGGCTTGGTGCAGAAGAAGTTGATGTGGGCCTCAATGCCACAACCTCGGGATCATGACCTGAGCTGAAATCAAGAGTTGGATGCTCAACCGACTGAGCCACCCAGGCTCAGGCTTTTAACGAAATTCTAGAAAAACATACTGTCAGTGTCATTTAAGAGACCACAGAGACAGGGTATTTTGCAGAGTACAGGAAACGGTGGAAATACTAATTTTTTTATTGAAAATGCAAAAAAAAAGGCAATTTCCCCAGATGGTCCTCACTGACGGTAGATCTGAAAGGACCACCAAGTGTTAGTTTTCTGCTCTGGGCTCCTGGCGCTTACAGCATTCACTTCATCCCGAAACGAGTTGGAAAACTTCCAGACACAAGTATACATCCTAATTTAACTTCAGTAGCTGTTCTTATGAGTTTGCCTAAGGGTAAGATGTATTACTAGATTTTAACTTCTTTTATGTATTCTAAGCCTATAATAAATTTTTGAATTAAATCAGACTGCAGCCAATTAATATTTTGGGTGAGTAAAATTTGCTGTGATAGATGTTAAAACTTTTATCACCTTGGTTTTACTTTTAATGGAAGGAAATGAAAAGAAACAAGTTGTACCTAAGAGTGCGTTTTGCTTGGGAGACGTTTTACCTTTTCCTTCAGATGTTCCAGTGGAGCTCGGCTCAGAGGCAAGGGACGCGGTGTGGCTCTGTGAATGGTGGCACGGGGAGGGTAGGTGTTGGGGAGAGTGGCTGAGTTCTCCACTCTCCATGTTCTGTTCAGCACCCCGGCCATCACCTTGGGTCCTGATGCCCACGGGAGCACCTCACCTTCCTGGCCTGCGACCCCCACAGTCCCTGGCCTGGCCCCCGTGGTGCGAACACAGCCACTCCCCTCCTGCCGGGGGGTTTCTCACAACCTAGCCTGAGGTGGGTGGTGCCTCCCTGGCACATCCACTGGGAACAGGTGTTCCTGCTCCTGTCACCCCCTCCCCAAGTTCACCTCCTACTTGGCCGTCCTGATCAGTCTTTCCTAAAACACCACCTTTATCATGGCATTCTGTTACACAAAACCTGAAATGGCCTTCTGTTAACTATGGAATAGAGTTGAGGCGTCTGGTCTGGGGTTCAAGACCCGACTGTCTCCCTTGGCCTCTCTCCCCTGCAGGATTTATGGTGGTCCGACAACATGCAGGGGCACGAGGGTGAGAGGCAGTCCATGGGGGCTCCCGTTTGCAGGCGGGAGTCCAGATTCTACAGCGCTCAGTCTGCTCCAGGCCCCACGAGGGCGTCCAGAGCACGGGCTGTGGGGGCAGAGGATGTGCTACGTGACCTGGGCCCATTGCTGGCTTCCGTGTGCCTCAGTTTCTCCTGTCACTGGAGACGGTAACAACCTAGTCTCAGGTGGACAAGAAGAGTGAGTTGGCAAATTCAAAGCAATGCCCGGCACAAAGGATGGGCTCGCTAGCACATCTGCTACTGCTGTTGTATCATGTTGTTGTGCGATGATGACCACCGTCATTATAAAAACCCATTCTGTCTGGGGGGATTAGGAGAGGCTTCACGGGGGAGGTGACATCTGAGCTAGACCCTCAAGGATAAATGCTTTTAATTTTGATCAAGTCCAATTTACCTATTTTTTTTTCTCTCATAGCTTGTGCTGTTTGTGCTCCACCTAAGAATCCTTTGCCAAAACCAAGGTCATGAGCATTGACCCCATGTTTTCTTCTAAGGTTTTATAGTTTTTGCTCTTAGTTTCGGGTCTATGATCCATTTTGAATTGTTTTTTGCATATGTTGGCCATGCATTTTCAAATGCTTTATAAACATTAATTCAGTTGAAAAAATAATGCTATAGACAGGCATGGGCCTTGTTTTGAGGATGCAAACACAAGCACGGGGAGGGTAAGTAACTTGACCAATGTCTTGTTGGCCAGGGGTCAGCAGGGGTTCAAACCAGGTGGTGTGGGGGTCGCGAAACGCCACGCCCAAGGTCACCAGGGAATCCGAGGAGGAGTCGGGATTGGAACCCAAGCAGGTCTGTGCTCTCAGCAGCTACAGCACACTGCCTCTTTATAGCGACTTGTTAAATAAACAAAAGGTGTGATTTCTAACCAGAAATGAACCAGAGACCACGGATACCTGTCTGAGCCACAGCGTCTCCTCACTCTCCCTCCGGCCACTTCTTCAGGCAGAAGAACATGACTGGATGGCATACAGGTCACAGTGTCACTGTCACCAGGATTTTGCCAGCAGATACAGAAGCCATCACAGGGTGTTCCCTTACCTGGGTTTATTCAGGGGAGCCTGGGTCTAGTGCTGCATGACCCACTGGGCCACGCCAGACTCAAGGCCCTGCTGGCTCCTAAATCCTATCAGCCAAGGCTCTAGAATCAGTTCCAGTGAAGGGGCCGCCCACCTCTATAGCCTTCCCCGCTGTGGACACCTGGTTGGCGGCCGGGTCTGTGCACATTCTGTACCCCACAGCTGCTCCAGGACCAGTGAAAAGGCTCGAGTTTAGTCCGTGAAAAGGCTGCTGAGCCAGCAAAGCCCGCCCTCACCACCGCAGCCCTGCAATCCCAGGCACGGAACTTTGCCCTTGAGTCTTTCTTCCAGAAAGTGTTAGAAAATATCCTCCAAAGTGGCGCGCCTGGGTGGCTCAGTCGGTTAAGCGTCCGACTTCAGCTCAGGTCATGATCTCACAGTCTGTGAGTTCAAGCCCCACGTCAGGCTCTGTGCTGACAGCTCGGAGCCTGGAGCCTGCTTTGGATCCTGTGTCTCCCTCTCTCTCTGCCCTCTGCTCTGCTCACACTCTGTCTCTGTCTCTCAAAAAGTGAATAAACGTTAAACAAAATTTTAGAAAATATCCCCCAAAGTAATGAGATGTACACAAAGCACAGGACGGTGACAAAGCGTGTTCTGTGGTCCTTACGTGGTGGTTTCCAAGCACCACAAGTGGCCGCCAGGGACACAGGGTTCTCTGGTGGGACAGAAGACAGTCCCCACGTCCTGCACACTGGTGATCCTGATGCCCTCCTCAATACCTTCTCTGTCCTCACCTGGAGCTGTTTCCTCTGCTGTCTGCCCAAGTCCCGGTCACCCTGGGAGGCTCTTCTGGGCTCCGTCCTCCCAGAAGCCCTTGCGTCGCCGTCCTCACT